GGTTAAAACCCCTTTCCGGGAATTTTTAAACCCGGGGAATTTTAAACAGGGAGTTGTTAAATTTTCCAGCCCTTTTCCCCACGGGAACCCCACTTTGATTTTTTTTAAATATTTTCCGAAATTCAATTTTCCCCCCCAAGGTTTTTGTTTTACCCAAATTTCCCCGGTTTCCACCTTTTTTTCGGGTTTTTCCCTTAATAATTAAAAACCCCCTGGAAAACTTTTTTTTGGGGGTTGGGCTTCCCAGGGTTTTTTCCCTTTTTCCCCTTTTTCCCCGGGCTTTTTTGGGCCGGTGAAAGTTGATGGGTTCCGGTTTATTCCCTTCTTTTTTCAATTTTTTTTTCCCCGGGGCCAGGCCCTTTTTCCATTCCCCTTTTTCCGCCCCCAGGGACTTGCCGTTTTTTTAATTAACCCCTTCAAGTTTCCCCCCGCCCCCCTTGGGTTTTGCCCCCTTTTTTTTAAAGGGCGGGGGGGGTTGGGGGGGGGGGGGGCGGTCGGGCGCGGACACAACCGATGCTAGCCTTGTGGGCGGAAGCATTCCTGCAACACCCTGCGTCAACACAACGCCGCGCTATTCTCCGAGATTTTGAGACTCTGTTTGAAGTCGGGGCTAAACAAGCCTCCATCGGGGGAAAAACAGAAACCCCGAGGATATGTGTATTAGGCCGGACTTGACTCATCAACAGACCGGTCATGAGATGTGAATTGTTGGTAATACAAATAGTCGTTTTCTTGTTTTCTTCAAGATCGAAAGAAAATAAACAAATAACCCGAAAATCTTGAATTCAGGGCAGGAACCACATCTTCCGCCTCGTCTGTTGCTCTTCCCCAAAAACACCACTACAAGGTACAGCAGTAGTGGGAAGAAGTTGCCGGCCCTAGTCCTTGACCTACACAAAAACCCAGCCAACAACCGCAATTGCAAGACAAACACCACAAAGAGTACCACCGACGAGCACGCAGTACCACCTAACAACGACAGCAGTACACAGGAGGAGCAACACCAGCAACGACATACAGAAGCCAAGATCAAACCACTAGACTAGTTTGGATTGATTTCGGCGTGTACATACCACAGCACACACTTGAGCGGGGGAACTAAACAATCTGCTCCCTCGGCCTACCTGCTGCCGCCACTGCCCCGTGCCTCCGAAAGGATCTGCATCGCAACCCTCCAGTCGCTGCCGCCGCCCCCGCAGCACGCCGAGATCACGGCCGAGAAGGTGACGACATCGGGGCTAAGCCCCTCCGCCAGCATCTCCTTCAGGAGGCCCACCGCCCTCTTGCCCTGCTTGCTGCGGGCGCACAGGGTGATGGCCGAGTTGTACACCTGGTGCGGTTGGGCGAGAGAAGGCGTACATGGCAACGGCAAACAACAGCAGCAGCAGCATCATACGTCAGTCGCTTTTTACACTTTGTTTGCATTTTAATAGCGGCAGTAGCAGCAGTAGCAGCAGCAGCAGCAGCAGCATAACTCAGTCCCTTGTTTACGATTTTTTATGGCATCCTAACCCTATATGCGGTGCCCTCCTTCGGCGTGTCCCTTGTCCCCGGCTGCGAGAGCCTTCACGTTGGTCGGTTTGAGAGCCTTCATGTTGGTTGGTGTGATGTTTCATTTGCGTTGCGGAGAGTCTGCTTCTGCCCCAGCAGCCGACGTGAAAGACTTGCACAGTTGGCATACTGCTGCTATCAATAGGAAGAAACTAAAATAATGTTGGTTCGAGAGAAAGGTGGGCCACAGGTGGCTGCATGATTCAAGCTGGGCCAGCGCAGACGAACTCAAAAATGGCGGGGTGCGATTTTCCGCGCAGTTTTTTACGAATTAGAAGGTCCTCGCCGTGGTCCGGATAGGTGGTCGTGTATTGTACCAGAGAACATAATTGGTTAGTGTGAGGTCAAGCGTGCGGTGGATGGCGCTATAGTAGGCTGGCTTGCACTAGACACAGCACCTCGATCCGCAAATACCCCGGACGCGCGAAGAAAATCCGAACCCTCCCCCCCTACTGCTATGTACTGAAGGAGGTATGAAGCCGCCATCAACCGGCCCACGGACGGTATTTTTTACCACGTGCGGACAGATGAGAAGGGCGCTGCGTTTCGACTCTTTTCATGGGTGGTGCTCCTACTTGTATATACGATTTTGCTTAGATTTGATCGCCTGTGCGGCCGGGAAAAAAAAAAAACTGCAGAGCACGGCCACACCTTACAACCCTACGCTGACCAACCACCAACGCCGTCATCATCTATCCGGCCATTCTGTACGTACGTGAGTTGCTCTTGGGAGGCAACTTCGAAGAACACTCAGCCTAGTCTACGCTATTATATAAACAGGGAGTGTGCGTAATACCGCATTGAAATAAACATAAACACGTAGACTACTACGTTTTCCCTCAGCTCACGGAAAAGACTTGAGCGCATCCCTTTAAACTGTTGTGGTTATATCCCGAACGGTATCTCGAACGCGTTGTATGTTGTATAAATAGTCTTCCTGTGAGATTATGTCACTCTCTCCCAAAAATATGTATACTCATAAAAAAATTAAACACATGTGGTGAACGTCGGCTGGGCGGAAGTACGTTTGTACTAGTAATACAGAACGTACTTGTACTCTACTGCGTGCTCGTACATGACGAGCGTTCCTGTCATGATGGGTCTGTGCTCTCTCTCTCTCTCTCTCTCTCTTTCGCTCTCTGCCTCTGCTTCTCTTGTGTCTATGCAAATGTAATGTTAATGTTCCCTATTGCTGTCCCTCTCATGTGTACCGCTCCGTAACTGCTGTACTGCTGTCTCTTTTCAAGTTGTAGCTCCTTTGCTGTCAGTGTCTCCTTTACGACTTACGTAACCGTCCAGCTGAGCCCCCCAGACATCCCGCGCCTGCTCAAACACCCACAGCGCCTTGTCATACTTGCGCGCCCGCTTGCACGCGTTCATCCCGTCATTGATGCAGAAGGCGTCCGGCTTGTTCCCGAGCGCGTGCATCCGGTCCAGCACGTCCAGTGCCCCCTCCCAGTTGCCCCCCTTGCCCATGTACCCGATGCAGCACGAGTACATCTTGGGGGTCGCGCCGTCCCCCCTCCGCTCCGCCTCGTGCAGCAGCTTCAGCACCGCGCCGAAGTCCCGCCTGTTCTTCATCTGCTTGACGGTGAAGAGGAACTTCCCCTGCCGCATGCTGGTGTCGTGGGAGATCTCTGTGCCCCCAACTCCCGCCGCCAGCCGGTGCACCGCTCGAGTCTTTCCGCCGCCGCCTGCTGCTGCTGCTGCTGATGATAATGACGATGCATGCCTCGGCTGCTGCTGCTTCGAGAACTTCTTCAGCCTTTCCCTGTTGCGGCTCCGGATGTCTCGGATGGAGGAGGGAGAACCGCGCGGTCCCGCGCTTGCGTTCTCGTCGCGGGGCGAGAACCCACCCGCCACTTCGCCCGCGGCGGCCATCTGCTGCCGCTCCTGCTGCTGCCTCTCCTGGATCGACGTCTGCACGTCATCGGCAAACGATTTTCGGGCGGCTTGTCGCTGGTAGTAGCTCTCTTCGGCCTCCTGATCGGCATCACGGGACCCCGCCGCCAGCAGCCTGCGAGACGATGGCCTTCTCCTGACATGCACACGCACCGGCGGCGGCGCGCACTGTGGATGTGCGGCGGCGGGCGAGATGCTGCGCAAGAGAGGGAGAGGAGCGCTTGCGCCCAAGAGCGTAGCAGCAGGCGTCGCGAAGGCGATGGTGCTCATAATGAAGTTGTTGTTGAAGTAGAGCGTGGCGGACTGAAGCGCAGAGTGCGCAATGCAGCGTGGGAAGGTTTGCCTTCACCTAAACCGATGTTTAGCTAGTCCTTCCCGGCAGCACGCTGACAGCAGAGCCACGCCGCAGTGCTTGCTGTCTGCTGTGCGAAAGAGAGGCACAAACAGCAAGGGGGGGGGGGACATTCCACAGGTCTCTCTCCCCGCAGGGGCTCCGTCACAATATTTTCCGGCATGGGGGGGGGAGGGCACCGGGGTTGTCGTTGTTGTTGCATGAAATTTGAGCGGGGACAGAATCCACGAGGCATCGGCCAATCAGACTCCTCTATTTCACGAAGTTTCACGAGGCATGACCAATCAAAAACCTCAAAAGTCACGAAGTTCACGAAGCACGGAGGATGCGCCGCACGCACAGTCACAGCAGCAGCAGCAACCATGAGCACACACAACTCAGCGATGACAAACCCTTCTGGGGGCTGGAGGTAGGCCTTCAGCGTCGAGGACCACGAGCTGACTCCTGGTGCCAGGACTGGACCTCCGGTTGGAGATCATCAATCAGCAGCGCGGCAACCCATCCATGGGGAAGCTTGAGCTTTGCCGGCCAGACCACAGGAGCTGCAACAACAGCAGCAGCAGATGCAGCCGGCGGAAGCATCGTCTCATTCGGACCAGCACTTCCACCAACCTTTCCAACATATAGCGGAGCCAACAATGTGCCAATGGAGGCGGTGCGACTGGTCTTTTGGGACGCAACAAAAGCACGAGTCTGGGTACAGCGTGTATCTTCCGCGATCAGGTGAGAGGCCGGCAGTCCCTCCAGTTGCGCTGAGCATGGTACAAAGCATGGTAGGTGCGGATAGATAGCACTCTGTCGTTCGTGTGGTGAGAAACATGTTGAGTTGTTGTTCTTCGGAAGCCCGAGAAGATAAAAATCGAGTCACCACTGCTGCTGTGTGCATGTCTTCGCCCCCCGCGCCCATCGCCATGGTCAGGACATCATAACCTCCGGCGTACACCGTCCTCGCAATTACAGCATCACCCAGTCGCCCGATCTCTTTGCTGACCCGCGCTGACTACCCTATAGATATGTTAGGCGGAGCTGCCAATTAGCGTGGCCGGTAGTAGTGGAGGCTTGTGTCTGGCGAACAGGTCGAGGGTACGGCGGCGTAGTAACGCAAATTGGAATCCCGCTCAAACGAGTTCGAATGTGGTATACACTATGTACTGCAGTAGTAGAAGGTTTGGCCATCCTGTCGGTTCCTTCGCAAGACGTCCCGAGCACACGCACGATTGAAAAAGCACAGAGTCTCACACCCGAAGGGCAGTAGCGAGCAACCTTCTGCTGTAAAACAGCATGCCGCAGCAAAGAACTCCGTGCTCTTGTCGAAGGTACAATCCCACGTGTACGCTACAGGCTTCGCCCAAAGGACAGCCAACCTCCTCACGTACAACGCTTGTTTTCGTTGGAACGGAGCACCAATTTTTTGCGCATCAAGTACCAGGGGCGAACGTTATGCGCGGCAGTCCCAAGAAAAAGATTGAACAAGGATGCCCGAGAGCCTTCCGGTTCGCGTTTTTCTTGACGTTCTGGTGTATATGTGGGTGTACAGCAGTACAAGTCTGCGGCAGTACATGATCGTGACCCTTATTATTGCGGGGTTATTGCCTCACTCCCTTCGATGTTTGGTACAGTACTCCCATCGATACGGCGTCCATTGTTTTTCGATTCGTATGGCGTTTGCCCCGTAGTTGACGGCTATTGTGTTCCTGGGACCGCGCCATTGCTGCTGCTTGATTGCGGTGGTACCAACACAACAATCGTGTTTTTCCCGACACGATGTAGCTTGTGAATGAATGATACCTTGGATGAATGAATGCATGATGGAATCGTTGCAACATCATTTCCAATGCCCATATCACGGATACGGCACCGAGTTAGAAGCCGCTGCCTGTGCTTAGGAAGTTTGACAATATGGGTCTGTGACAACTGCTCGTGCCCAGTCCGTCGAAATAGCAACGGATGCCGAGAGGGTACAGAGAGAGAGAAAGAGAGATAATGGGGAAGCGAGCCTCCCCCCTCGGCATCCTATGAGATAACTCTCTTGCTCTGACGGATTGCAACCACCAACTCGCAAAAAACACTTGACACAAGAACTCGCTAAACGCCCCGCATGATGCATGTGTCTGCTGCTCCCTGCGGACTGGTTGGTTCGGCGGTCATTGGCTCTTGGCTCGAAAGACCGGCTTGGCAGGAGTACTTGAGCGGAGGGACTTTGAGCTCTTTGTTGAGAGAGCACAGGGAGAAGCCCATGAGAATTTCCAAGGTGCGTACAGTCGTGGTGTTGTCTAAACCTCAGCCCCCACCTCGCATGTATATCGTATTCGTTCATGCGCAACAAAATCAATTATGGTCACAACAACAACCACAACGACAACCACAAAAATATTAACAATACAACAGGTGCTCGACCTGTCGTTGGCGTTGTGTAACGCTTTGGAGTACCTCCACGATGTGGCGGTGCCTGGACGCATCGTGTGTCACCGAGACCTCAAGCCGGACAACACCGGTTTCGCGCAGGATGGCACGTTGAAGCTCATTGACTTCGGACTGGGAAAGGTAATGACACAACTTTTTTTTCGTACCTATCTAAATGTAAAATGTGTAACCGTGCGTTTACCGACATAACACGGTGGCCTGCTGTTGTATGCCATTGGGAAGAATACGCGTGACAAACGCTTGACTACGCTGTTGTCCAGCAAACCGGAAGCAAGAGACGGGGCATGGCGTCTGTGTGTGGAAGTTTCCGGCAGTTCAGAAAGGAGACAAAGCGATGTGTACAGAGAGGCTGATCTCTCCTACCGCTGCACGCAGCAGCCGAGATCGACGAGATAAATGCAAGACCTCGACGTGTATGTGTAGATGTTGTCTTGACAGAAAGTTGAGAGGTGGTAGAGACACATCACACAGGTAACATTCATACGTTGCTACGCCACATTGATGCACAGCACCGGCATTCCCCTCTCTACGCTTGCGCAAGTGTCCAGTGTGTAACCTGTTCGACCTGTTCCCTGCTCCTCGTTCACGACTCGTTTGCTTTTTTTCTGAACAATTGCAAACAGACACACGCACCCTAAACTCGCTCGTGGCTCCTCTTCTAAGATCAATTGCGTGAGAACTATTTTCCTGTTCACCGCTGCTGCTGCTGATCAACACCACCTTTCGAACCCCAGACCATCTCGTCAACCGAACGTGTTGTGTTTCTGCTCTGCATACAGCCAACCCACGGGCCCAAACTTCCACCAGGATTGGGCGATAGGGAAAAACTGGATGAGGGGGGGGGGGGTGTACTCATAGTCGTGCATGCCGTAGTCGTTTGACCATTGACCTCGCATCCCTACAAAGCCGGGACGGAGCACGCCGGGTTCTCACCGGACCAGGCTCTCACATCACCAAGCGCGAAGCGCCGTGAGGTATTTGGCGAGTCGCATGAAGGGTGAGCTGCATCCTGCTAAGGGTGTTCGACATCTTGTGCTTACTTCCTTGCGTACGGATGACAGCTGCGTATGACTTAATTTATTTTCTGGTGCTTTCACTTCCAGAGACAGTTGTAAGCACTGTGTAACTGCCTCGAGGAAGCTTGACCATTTTAACACAACGTGGTGCGATCATCCCCCGTTGCGCGGAGTGAGGTTTCTCGACCCCGCACAACATGATCTACTCGACCACCATTATGGTTACCGCAAAAAAAAAAACCAGAGGTAAAAAAAAAAGACGGTGACCTGGTTGCCGAGTTCACGAAGTGAATTGGCTTTTTTTACAACGTCGTTGCCAATCGACGAAAACCCAATCCCGATGGCAAACACCGAGTGGGGGGCTTGTTTTACAACGTCGTTGCCAAGCGACGAAAACCCAAACCCGGATGGCAAACACCGGGGGGGGGGAGGGGGGGGGGGGGGGGA